GTACTGGTGCCTGGGGTTGTTCCTCCCCAGGTGCAGGACCCTGGACTTGCCCTTGTTGCCTTGCACCAATCTCCTTTCTCCAGAGCTGGCTGGAGAAATCCACCAACTCCCAGCACCCAAAGCCAGTCCCACCCGAGCACGACCCCACCACACTGCGAAAGCAAAGAAAAAGAGAGAGATGTCCAGAAGGAGGAAAGAAAGCACGTCGAGCGAGTAAGAGGGCACGAGGCCAGGCACCCTCTCAGTGCCAGGCCCTGCAGTCACCTGTCTCGAGGCTGAGCCCAAAGTAGAAGAGAGCTCCGTCCCCCAGGGCACACAGAAGGTAATGGCTGCTCTCGAAGGTCGTCATCAGGATGGAGCGAGGGATAATTTCTGCAGGGAGCAGGAGAAGAGCAGGCTGATGTCACTCACGACTCCGCCAGGCCAGCAACGGCTGCCAGCAGCCCCAGGAGAGCCCTACCTCCTCCCAGCATCTCTTTGTGCAGCAGCTCAAACGAAGGCAGCTTCAGGATGCGGGCGGAGATGTCAGTCCAGAGCCCGATCGCGCACAGTGGGGACATGCCGTTGGTGTCCCCCAAAGGGGTGATGTCCAGGCAGGCAACTTCGTGCTCCATTTCTGTGCAGCTGGCAGGAATGAGGAGGGACACGGAGGCATCAGTCTTGAGGCCAAAGACAGAGAGGAGAGGCCGAGAGCCTCGGGGCAGGACGAGAGCTGTGCGCTCACCTGATCTGCCTGAGCTCCTGGGGTCGGATCTCCAGGTAGTAGAGGGCTCGTCCCACAGCCACCACTACCTGGTTACTGTTACAGGAAGCCACGCTGATGTTCTTTCAGTTAGGCTCCCTCCACTCGCTCACCAGGGCTTTGGGCTCCTGACTAACCAGTCTCACAGAGGCAGAGGTGATCTGGGGAGAGGGAACACCTCTGCTCAGAGCCAGAACACCACCTCCCTTCTGACACCGGCCCAGGGAAGCACTGCAAACACTGCTCTCGATAACCAGCACAGATCTAGGTCAGCTCCACAATCAATAAGGGCTGTAGGGTCACCGTGACACCCATACCTGCATTTCCCCAGAACTGGCATTACCTGGATCAACTGCTGATGTGCCACATTGCCGCAGAAGAAAGTCTGCTGATCGTCCACAAACCCCGTGAGCTCCGTCTCTTCTACTTCCTCTCCATTTAGCATAAGGACCCTGAAGAGGAGAGGGAGCTCCAGTTTATACCATGCTCCAAGACGCGGCCGAGAGCCTGGCTCGGCGTTAAGCCCCCTTTACCTGGTCTGGCCAACGAAGGACAGCACCAACGTGTTGTCTGTTTCACGATGAGAATCCGACCTCAGGGGCCACAAGCCTGCAACAAGGAGAGGCCACATTTGCTCACAGTGAATATTCCAAAGGCTGGCGGGCGGCAATCCCCCTGCCCCACACCCCACCCGGGCACACGACGCGTCCCCACTGGGCCCTCTTGGGCTGCAGGTTGCATCTGACAGCGCCGAACAGCTCACGCACCTTTAATCCCCGGCAAGTCAATGCTGGCGTGCTCATGAATCCCAATGCCGTTCCGGATGATCCGCAGTGAGCCCTCTTTAAACGCACCCGAGCACGTGACCAGCTGGAGGAAAAGCAGATAATCTCTACCAGCCATCGCTGGGAAGCTTCCCCACTCCTCCTTGTAGCGATGGCTTCAGGGGAAGATGGGGTACCCATCTTCTCCACCTCTCAGAGGAAACCCTTTGGCAGCTGGTCCTTCCCAGCTTCCTGCAACTCCTCCCTCATGAGCAGCAGTATCCAAGAATTAGCCTCTCCACTCACGCTACTCTTCAGTGCAAGACCTCAATACTATCCCTGCACCTGGACAAGACTTTGAGATCCTCCAGTAAATGGAGTCTTCTCCTTCAACGGACAACCCACGCGTACACCTGGCCGGCCCATACGTCCCCAGCACCGAGAGCAGAAGAGCAGAATCGACGTTACCTGCCCTTGGCCTTGTCTTTCCAGGTCCACCACACACATGTCGACAATGGGACCGAGGTTGGTGAAGGTCTCCATAGCCACGACATAGGAGCCCTGCTCGTTGCTGTCCACGTTGAGCTATGAATAAACACAATCACCAGCTTTCAACAAGCAAGACCAAGCAAGTGGAAAGGGTGTAGGGCAGGCAAGGAGAAGAAAGGAAAATTTATCCACATACACCTCTCGAGGATATGATGAAAATAAATATGTACAAACTCCTGTCTGAACACAGAACCAAGCCAGAAGGCAGCTGCCACGTACCTTCACAAGCTGGGAGTCCCCCAGCCGAGAACCCACAAACACAACTCCGTTGTCCAGGTAGGTCAAGCACTCTGCGATGGACGTCTGGGAATTGAGAAGACGCAGATGAACCACCGCTAGCATGAAAAGGACCCTGCCGCACCCCGCAAGCGCCGCTCCTCAGCTGCAGCCCAACAGGAAGACCCCGGGCACAGGAGGAGAATTTCATCCCTTCGCAAAACCCACAGATTCCAAGCTTCTCCCAGGGACAAGCACAACCTGGGAAGACGGTGTAAACTTCCAAGTGCCCAGACAGGGCAATTCCCAGCAACTGAAAGTTCAGAGCTGTGACAACTGTGAAGCTTCACCCCACGCCGGGCTCCAGAAGAGACACCGTTCCTGCCACTCCGCCCTCAGCGGAGCATTTCCAGCCTGCGAAGCCTCCCAGCCCCGCGCTGAGAAGCGAAAGCGACAGCGCATACGATGTGGCCGGGTCCTACCTCACCGAGCAGTTCCACGCGCAGGTCCTTCAAGGTGACAGTGCCGTCCATCTGCTCCTCCTTCTCCAGCAGCAGCATGAAGAGGCGTCCCTCCATGTCCCCCAGGAGGTAACGGGACCCGTTGGGATCCACGCGGTTGTGGCACACAATCGTGCTTTGCTGCACGCAAAGGAGGAAGGAATTTTAGGAACCTGTTAAAACGGCTCCAGACGGGCTTCTAGCAAGGACAACCCTCTGGACACGCCAGAAGGGGACAACCACATCCACAGCGCACCAGCTGCTGGCTGTAACCACAACGGGGCCCCACTCCTCCAGGGTGGAGGGAGGGGGGCTGGATTCGCCCTTCGATAAACCCTATCAGTGAACACAACCAGAATCTGTTGTCAAACGGTCTCACTTCCGGTCACTAGGAACCACCTCCCCTCCCTAAATCAAACACAGGATCACAGTATAGATCGTCCAGTTCCAACCCCGCTGCCACGGACAGGGCCAACGTGTAGCTAGCTTGCTCGCAGCCCAGGGAAGATCACAGAATGTTCGGGGTTGGAAGGGACCTCGGCGGTCACCCAGCCCAACCCCCTGCCCAAGCAGGGTCACCCAGAGCAGGCTGCACAGCACCGCGTCCAGGCGGGGCTTGAAGATCTCCAGAGAAGGAGACTCCACAGCCTCCCTGGGCAGCCTGGGCCAGGGCTCCGTCACCCTCAGAGGGAAGAAGTTCTTCCTCATCTTCAGCTGGAGCTTCCTCTGCTTCAGTTTGTGCCCATTGCCCCTTGTCCTGTCGCTGGGCACCACTGGAAAGAGTCTGGCCCCGTCCTCCTGACCCCCACCCTGCAGATATTT